GGGTGGGGGTCACTGGAGAGGGGATTAAGAGGTGGGGAATAGAGGGAATCCGAATAGGACCCTCTGACCGCTTCGGCCGGGGCCGAGGCGAATTTTGACGCCGGCTCATACATATCGCGTTGCATTCGTCGACTGTTGGGCGTCTCTGTACCCCTTTTGGCAGCAGTGAGCACCATTTACCTCTCCTTCGTGTCATTCCCTGTCGGCTGACACAGCAGAGATCGCAGTCATTGTGCTGTAGCATCGTGGCACTTCGGCTGATCGAAGCTGTCCTCGATGCTGCAATGATCCTAAGGTGGAACTAGGCGACAAAAAGTTGGCTTTCAAGGCCTTAAGCCCGGAGGCGCTCCTTTGCTCATGCCATGTGTCCACATGTGTCCACGATCTGACATTCATGAGCTGAAATACTCGCAGGATCTTCATCGTTGGCAGACGGCTTGGGAGACTGATCCTGAAGAGCCACTTGCAGCTGCCTCACTCCCTCGGCCATTTGACGCTTCCCAAGCCTTGGCGTCGGCTCTTCCCTGTCAGAAGCCATCACACGCAACGATGCCGAAAACGGGGACCTGACCTGAGCCTGTGTAGCATGAACAGACGGTCTGTGTCACTGTTCGACTGTCAGGACAGGTTCAAAGACACGAGTGGTAACAAAGGGCAGGTGGGAAGCCAAGCTTCCACTGTGCTCGCGGCATTTCCTCACAGCCCAAGTTGCGCGGTTGAGCGCATATGCACAGGTCTAGAAGTGGCAAATCAGCGTAATTGAGCTGAGCCTAAGGGCCTAAGCTCAAGCTAGGTGATTCTTCGTCCGTGCATGGAGGCTCAAAGGCAGTCTTGGGCGCAGGTGAACGCTCGACTTAGACAGACGATTCTGCAGCCCACACTGTCACACGTTTTCATGTTGATACTCAGGCCCTAGAAATTTGAACGTTTCACTGCATTCCACACTGTGCTATGCCGACAGAAACACCAGGAGTTCCTCTAGAAGGTCAGGATGAATCATCTACCCTGCCGGCCCTGCCGACCTCTTTAGCCAGTCTGCCGGGCCATGAGTTTGAAGCGCCTCTGCAGCTGCCTGCGCTCACCGACACCGAGGGAACCCGGCGAGGTGCGACGCTGTACTCGAGCTGCTAAGATCTCACATTGCCTTGTGATGCTCACGGAGCGTCAGTGCTGCGCTGGGATTTGCACCCCAAACAATGGCTCTGTAGTCTTCTTTGAAAAAGGTTTTCGTCATCGGATTCTTCTTGTGGCTTGTCTTCCGAACAAGGGCTTGACGGTCGTGGTCGCGGTCGGTTGTTGTTGGTGGTGGTGGTAAGCACCAGCCAGCAATGCTTCTGGAATCTGACGAGCGCAAAGAATCCAAGTTCAATTCGCTTGATGCCGGCCGAGAAATTTCGTCTCCAAGTAGGTGACCCAAACAAAAAACCGGACCCGGGATAAGGGATGCCACTTTCACTTCACCTTTCCGCCTTATCCTTAGCCTTAGCACAACGGGTGTGACATCGAGATTCGGGCTTTTACTTGTGTGTTTGTGTGTCGACAGGCCTTGAGTGGCACTGGCAAGACAGCCTTGGCATCGCCAGCTCCGAAGGCGCACGGGCCACCGTCATTCTGGATCCTGCTGTGGAAGGCTTTATTCTTCTCCAGCTTGTGAAGGGATCTGCTCCAGGACATGTCAGTCCTGAGTCCTGAACAAGATGAAAAAGTCAGAGATGGTACAGAAAGGAAAGGAAAGAGGGTTCTTCTGCAAAAGCTTCCTTGGCTTACTGCCCAATTCCGAGACATAGAGCCGAACATCGCAGCAGATAAGGTCCCGGCGCAAGAGAGACGGGAGGTTTACTGAGTGGGCTACCCCCGAAACTGCACACCCCCACATGATTTTCTTCCTAGTGCGAGTGGGGGCACTTTCGGCCACCGGCTTGATGCTGTCTATGCCTGCATCTGAGGCAGAGAATCAGATGGAAAGACACTTGAAGGGTCCCCAAATGAGCGATCCCTGCTAGGCGCTGAAGGCCCGGGGCGAGGTCGGCGAGGCGGCCCAGGCCCAGGCGGCCAGCGAAGCTGAAGGCCGAAGGGATCCGAAGGGATCCGAAGGCGAAGGGCTGACGGCGACGCCTCTCTTTTTCCTCTGCTCGAGGAGAAAGGAGAAGCCAAGAGAGCTCGCCTTTGAATTCGATTGTAGCTCGGCAGGTTCCTGATTCAAGCATCGCGCGCTCACCACTCTTTGACTGTTCCCGGCAGTCCAAGGCGGATATGTGCAGCGGCTCTGGCATCCACAATGTGCAGATCGAAAGGGCGCGGGGAAGCTCAGTCATTGCATGATATTGATATTGCATGCCATAAGCATAGACGATGTGAATGGAGACAGGTTTTCGTCACGTACAGACCGGCGCATTGTTGCACGTGAAGGGCGAACAATCCCAATAAGGCTGAAGTATCTGGCCTGCTGGCTGGATGAGTCATGTGTTTCGCAGCACTATGACGCCTCTCGGCTTCAGCTTTCGATTGCTGCTTCTAGCTTGGCCCCTTTGACATCGAACCTCAGGTGGCATACTACTACCGGCTTCCCATGGCGTTCATCGAAGCAGGACGCGAAGCTGAGGCAGCACCGCTGTGAATCAAGGGTTCTCCCACGCTTATAGCGCAAAAGGGCAACGGGCTTTGCGAGTTTTTGCCAGTGATGTCGAAGATGCTCGTGGTCGAAGCTGTCTTGCATGGGTGGCGGGTGGGCTAGCTTCAGTTCAGGCTGGTTTCTATCTTGCTTGTATGCTTGTGCAATCTTTTGCATCTAGGATTGAGCCGGCTGCGCCATGGCAAGCCTGACAAGAGTTCGGAGCGTCTTGCTTGTATCAGACAATGCAACAGGCCAAGCTCATCCGGCAAGCTCATGTCGGGTGGTAGCATTGCTTGAAAGTCTAATTATTGCTCTTGCAAGAAACGGCACTCTTAGTGAATCCACTCGGCATGCAGCTCATCTGGGGCTGTCTGGGAAGCAGAAGAAGCCACATGAAATGCGTGCTGCTGTCAGGCACAAAAAGCGCTGGACATTGCTTCTCAGTTCGTGCTGGCCAACAAAGCAAGTTGCCTCGATAGCATTTGAACAACCCCGCGGATTTGCAACCACTGGGAAATCTGTATTGGCCGCGCCCAAGCCATGCAGGTTCTCAAAGGCTTTCTTCAGCCTACCCGCAGCGACTTGGCAACAGTGCAGTCCCTTTCTGCTTGTGGATATCTACGCACCCGAAACTGCTTGACATCGGCACTGGTTTCTCGCACATTTTCCATTGTGATGCTTCTCTGCAAGGTATCCCTTAGTCTGGATTTGCGAAGCTGCTGGCCGGTTGGGGCGCAATGAGCTTGCACGGATACTTGACAGAGACTCTAATGAGCACCGTCTCGACTGAACTGCGACCCCATCTAGCTAGCGGGTTCACCTGTTTGCGACCGCTGTGATACAACAGGCAAGCAGTTCCTGCAGGTTCACTAGCGGGTTTGTCCTCATCTTTTTCTTTTCCGACTCACGTGCTTGGGTCTACTACTGGTCGGTGTTTCAAACTGGTCGTTTCTTTCATGCGTCAACAAGTTACCGTGAGACCGTGACTTTCATTCCTCAAGCTGCTCTGGAAAGGTCGCATAGGTTGATGTCTCTTCGTGTGGTGACTTCAGCTGCGGTTACCGGGTTCACGGGCGTTGCAATCCACCAAGGCTGACAAAATTGGATAGCGCAAGCCGTGATAAGGGAGGCCATCGTCTTTGCAGGGCGGCAGTTGACGAGCTCAGACGAAAATTTGGATGCCTCTGGTTGGGATTGCATCGGGCATTTCTAGTGGGAGGGGTGTCCTGTTGGTGCTACAGTGGATACCTCTGTGTTTGTTCTGCGGGTGTTTGGCTTTGCAACTGGTCTTGGACTTGTTGTGCCTGCTGCTTCGGGTGGGCGTTTGCCTTAATTGCTTCAGCCTGTCAGCCCACTCGCGGCTGCAATTCCGACGATCAGTTTTGCTTCGCCAGCGCCGAGATGGCAGCCCCAGGTCCGGCACAGTATCCCATAGGCAGCTTTGCAGTCGTTTCCCGACCTCTGCATTACGACGAAGGGTATGTGGTGGGGCATGGGCCTGGTCAAGGCGAGATCCTTACTCGTGCCACTTCAGAGGATGGTGGAGAATGGATTTGGGCTGTGGTGCTGCCAGTGCTGGGGTCAACACGGCCGGAGTGGCCCGCAAGCTGTCGTTTTGCCCGTGGCCATGCCAATGGCGCCGGGTCCGGTCGGCGCACCAGCGTTAGGCGTGGGGGGTGGCAAATGGCGCAGCCGAGGTAGCGCGGTTGGGGCTTCACGGTGGCAGTGGCAACGGTGGCACCAACACCGGTCAGATGGACCTCAGTGCTTTGGAGGCTGTGAAGCAGCTGCGAAGCCTCTCCTTAAGGGAGTCCGGGAAGGAGAAGACGGACAGGAAGGAGAAGAAGTCAAAGAAGAAGAAGAAGAAAACCATCACAAGAAGGACGAGCTCGAACAATTCCAGCGCAATTGTCAAGCCCATGCAGCGGTTCAGGTGGGCCGAAGCCGCAGCCCTTGAGATGGAAAGAAAAGGCACGCAGCAAGCGGGCTTCATACGACGATCTTTCACATGTGGACGGCGTCAGATTGAGATCTAGTGTCATTCGCGGCGAAGCATCCCGGGGTGTTGGCTGCTCACTTTCTTGCGGGAGTCTTTGCACGGCATGTTTTTTCCTCTGCCACCTTGCAGTCGAGGTAGTTCGGTGATTGCGGGTGGCGAAACCCATTCTGCCAAGGTTACCAAGGTTTGTAAAGGCATAGTTGAGGGAGCCAATTTGGTCACTGCCATGCCCAACGACTTGCACGGGGTGCCTGATATGGCGGTGGTCTTCGACCACTTCACGTCTTACGGCAGCCCATTGGCAAATACATGCTCGGATAGCTTGTGCCTTGGAGGCAATGGTGGTGGCTGATGAGCCTCGTTTGAAGCAGTCCGAACATTACTCTGGTAGCAGGGTGGTGTTAGCTCCGGGTGTGCGTGGGGATGTTCCGGCCACAGCAGCTGCTGATGTGCCGCTTGAGCAGCATCTACAGAACACTTTCCCAGAGATGGCGGAGCCGGTTATTCGGCCGAATGCTCTGCTTCTGCCGTCCAAGCGAGGGCCATCCCGGGTTATAAAGGGTTACTTGTGGGTGGTGCGGTCATATCCAGAGCTTGTTAAGCGCAATGTCAAGGCCAGGCTACATTGTCCCAAGAAGTCTGAGCAGGTTGCGAGGCATAGAGGGGCATTGCGGGCTGGTGCTTTTGCCGTGAAGAAAGATGCCAAGGAGGACAGAGTGATCACAAATCAAGCGTGTAAACTACCTCGGCCTCGCTTCGCGCATATTCCCCATACGAGAGCCCTGTCCGTTCCCCAATGTGGAGTGCCGGTTTCAAAGCATGATGCCCGACACTATCTCCACCGTCTCAGAATTGGGAGCCGCTGGCGAAGGTGGCTGTGCAGACCGCCGGCGCCGAAGACCTCGAGTTCAGGCCAAATTCGTCAATTTTCATGCCGCTTGCTCGGCTCCGGTTTCGGGACATCGGCAGGTTGGGCGCGGGGGCTGACGGACGCTGTTACCGAGAGAGCAGGGCTGCCGGAGGCTTCGCCCGACATGGTGGTACCAGATTCGTTGCCCTTGTGGGGGGCGATTGCTGACGATGTATGGGCCATTGGACGTGCCTCCTCGCAGCTTGAGGTGCAGCCTGGATGGACACCACGGAGTCCTCTTGGCTGGAGCACGGTGTGGAGCCGAATGGGAAAACCCCTTGATTCAATGCTGGAGAGGAAGTTCAAGGTCAGTACATTGATCCGCACGGGCACTGGGTTGGAGCAGTCTGGAGAAGCGCTGCTTGCACGGCGAATACTGGTTGGAGTAGTTGATCGCCTGGTTGGAAAGCACGGGTTCACCAAGCCGGCTCGGCTCTGCATTCTGCATGAGGTCCATATTCGAGCAGACGTATTCCTGGCTGTCAACACTTCGGGGTCCAGGCGTGATTTCGTGGTGCTGCCCGATGTCGTGTGGGTTGAGTTGGCCGTTGCAGTTGCAGCTATGTTATTGAGTTTTTGCAGCTTGAATCTTTCAGCAGACTGGAGCAGTCGCTTTACGTGTACGGACTCATCCATGACACGCATTAGCAGGGCTTGAGGTATTGTTCCCAAACATGTGGTGCAAGTGTTGGCGCGCTGCGGTGATAATTCCCGTGTGTACACCAACTTGGAGTTGCCTTGGCGTGTTGGTTTAACTGATGATCATAAATGTAGTCTTAGGCGTGTTCGCATACCAGTTGAACGTGTCAAATGGTACAATAAGCGGTACACAGTTGCAGCACTTTGGAGTCCTGCACACATCACGCTGAGCGATGCCGATGCTCTGACATGGGCGGCCGAAGATCGCCTTTCTGCCTGGCAGATGATGGTTGCAGGTTTGTGCACCCTGCTAACTCTGCGGCTTGTGCCGGCTGCATGAGCGAAGGGCGATGCAGCTCACAATTGTTGAACAGCAGATGCCGCAAAATCTGTGCCATCAATGTCACTGTCCAGAAAGTCAATCCACCTAACTCAATGCCGTGATGCTGATGTGTTAATCTGGGTTGTTGAGGGTTCGTGAGTGTCTCCATTTGGCGTTGGCGACGTGATCTTTTCAAAAGACAATGTCACTTTGTGCTTAGGTCGTACAAAGCGTGGTAAGGAGCAAAAAGTCGTTCTGCGAAAAAATTGAGTGGTGGCTTGGATCAGGGACCACCTTCAGCATTTTCTTGCAGGGCCTTCACATCAAACGATGTTCTCTGTCGCGTATGCTTTTGTCCTTCGCTGGGTGAAGCGGCTGTCTGCTTTGTTGGGGAGTGAAGCACTGCACCTTACCACACATAGTTTTCGACGGTCTGGAGCTTCAGAGCTGGCCCGTCAAGGAGTGCCACTTGCTGATATCATTTTGCTCAGGACGTGGTTGTGCGAACACTTTGCCAGAGAGTATATACGCAGAGGTGAAGTGGCTGTCGTGAGGGCATTGCACATGATGGGCTTCAGACAACAACAACAACAGCAACAACAACAACAAGGCATGCAACAGTGGTGTGCCCTGGGACTTCACGCTTGGGCTTTTTATGGGGCTCTTAATCTTCATTCTGACTCGACTTGGCCAGGCCAAGTTTGACCTGTTCGAGCAGCATGTATGCTATGCAGCATGAGTTTGTTAGTGGTGTGGATGGTTGGGAGAAGCTTGAGAGGACATGATGAGCGTGAGCTCATTTTGAGCATATTGGCCGGCCTGACATATCGGAGATCCTGCCATGCTGCTTGTGTAGATCACGCTGGCATCGCCCGAACAGACATCCGTTGAAAGAGTTGTCTGAGTGCCGCATTGTCCCTGGTAAAGGCTTAACATCCTTTGGCACGGTGTTTCAATCTAGTTGTTTCTTTCACGCGTCAACCAGTTAGCGTGACTCCATCATTTTCATTGCTCCCAGCGCTGGCGAACCCCACCCGCCCTTGTGACAGTGGGAAAAGCTTGAAAGTACAAGCTGAGCGCGCGCGCTCATTTTGAGCATTTGAGGCAAGCCTGACATCGGAAATTCTGCCAGACTGCTTGTGTAGATCATGTTCTTGGCACCGATCACTGAGACATCCGTTGAAAGAGTTGTGTGATTTGTCCCTCGTAATTGCTTAACGTCCTTTGACAAATGACATCCGATTGTAAAGAATGTTTTGTCTTCCATGATTCCTTGTCTTTTCTGCTTGTGTCTCGGCCCGAAATTCTTCCTGACAAGTCTAATGCTCCGTAGCTGAAATGTGTGGGCCTATGAGTTGGACACATCTGGATACGATGCGAAACCGCAGAATGTAGGAGAGAGCCTCGCCCGAGGCTCTTCGACTCCGCAAGTCGATGATCGTCTGCTGCAGTCTAAGGCTAAGCTCTGTGTTGCCGTGTGTTTGCTGTGTTTTGGCGGTGTCGTTTTTAAAGCTGTGGTTCGGGTTTGGAGTGGCCGTGGTCCCTTGGTCCTTCCCGTTCGTGGTCCTGTGGTCCCTCTGTCCTCCGTTGACACAATTCGCATAATGCCAACTTTCGTTTCTGTCAACAGATTATTGGAATTCCGCGATTCCAATTTGCAGGCATAGGCGCTCTTCCTGCCAGCGCTAGCTACGTAAAGAAGAACTGCTGTTTCTCGACTGTGCTGACTTACAATATTTTAACTTGCGGCATTTGCACGGATCATTTCTACTTTCAATTACCTTCAGCCTGCCGTAGAGCAGAATCCTGCGCTTTTGCTGGCGCAACGAAAGGAGCAGCTGTGTGACCCTGCCAAATCGATTTCCACACTGTCCAATCCACCAATAGTTTTTCGAACAAGCGGGATCGCTGTACACATTTAAAAATCTTCGGTTGGGCATGCCGCGGTACATATCTCACTTTATACATAGCACATTTGCAGCCAGTTCACAACATGCAGATGGGAGCTGAAGGTCGAGGTTCTTGTCAAGCTGTTGCACGCCCTCCTGTAGTGTTTTTCAGTCGCAGAAGGAATCGGAGTCGAGCACCATTGCCTGTGACGGGTGCTTTGGTTCCTCCGGTTTCGAATTACTCCGATGTCGAATTAGATGGAACTGGTAGCACAATCTAGCTAGCTTCAACTTCTTGCTGTAGCTCTTCGGGAGAGGAGCAAGGCGCAGAGGGCTACAGACATGATGCCCAGACGTGATAAATCCATGGTGCGAGTTGGAGCAAGGCTAGTATCTGGGCCTCGATCGTGAAATGCCATCCAGTTGGGTCTGTTAGGTTCTGCTGTTTAGCCTGTCTTGGATGACGAAGCGTACTAGTAGGGTGCAAGGATGCAGTAGACATAGGGAAAGGAAAGAAAGATGCTGCTTGACCCAAGAAGAGCTGCTGGCGGCAAGGAGATGAAGCTAGCTGGAAAAGGATGTGATAGGTCAGGTAATAGGATGATACAGGATGTAGATGTTGCCGTCACGATCTGGTGTCAGGTCAGGCATGCCTGGTCGTTGGTTCCATGCACGCAAAATACTAAGGAGATGTGTCGAAGATATCTTCAGATACAGGCGATCGCGGGTCTCAAGTGAAGCTGGGGGCATGCAGTGGAAGCCCACAAACATGCAGGCACCCCCTGACCAACAGTGGCTTAGTGTCCGAGTACACCTGGAATGGAGCCTACGAGGCCTCCGGCTGCAGCCTTGATGGTGTGTGCATGTGCTTGGGTGCGCACGTGTGGCGGTTTCGAGCCCGGGTGTGAGTTTGCAAACGGACATGAGTGGGTGCGTGGGCGCACATGAGTGTAAGTGCGAGAGCATATGCTGCCGTGCTGATTCGCATGTCGATGTCGCGTCGAGGCGGACTTCTTCGCCACTGCCGTGGTTGCAAAGGCTGTGGGATGTGAGGAGAACTGAGGAGATATGAGGAGATGAGACTTGATGAGACTTGCCAAGACACCTTCTGCGCGGGTCTGTCGCTGCAAGTCCCTTTCCGAGTGTGAGCCTCCTTGTGAGGCAGCCGTTCTCAGTGGTCATGAAGCTGTCGCAAAGGCGGCAGCAGACTCGCTGCTGCGTGCTGTCGACGCCAACAGGATGACACATAAGAACGAATTCTGGCAGTATCCCCAAGACTCAACATCTGTTGCAGGGAATCATCCGGGGGCTGTCTGCAGGAGACATATGGCAGCAGGGCGCTTCTTTCTGCGCTGGACATGGGCAGATGGATTTCTGGAGCGAGCCGACGCGCCTTGTTTGCATGGACAGAATAGATGCCATCGCGGTCGAGTAAAGAGCGCATTTCTTTGATTTGGACGTGGCAACGTTGCCATGGATAGTGTGGGACACTGGCTTTCAAACGAGGTGCAGGAAGAAGGACACATAAGCAGCTTCTCCTAAAGCTAGCCGAATCGGAACAAGTGGATTTATAGAGTGTCTGCGAAATCCACAACCCTAAAAATAGCCCCAAATCGCAGTCAAACAACAGTAGCTCTGACCGTTTGAGTTAGGGCCGGGGTTTGAGGGCAGGTCTCCAGGTCTGCGCAGATGCCAAGACGTGGTCTGGAACTCGCAGCATTTCCCGTGGAGGATTTGCAAAGGCCTGGGGTCAAGGATGAGTTCTGCAGCATCTCTTAAACAAAAGAGCTTCAACTGAGCGCTTTGTCCACTTTCCGTTTGTGGTTTTGGCTGTTCTGAAGGGTTCCAAAGCTCAGAATCCCAAGCAGACGGTCTAGAGCTTCTTCACAGGGCATCGGTTCGGCGTGGCTTCTCATGTCAGCTGTTTCTCATTTGCAATTGACCGCTTTTCCGAGTTGGTTTAGTGAAGTGCATCATGGCATCCTTGGCTCGGAGCAACCACGGCATGCCGTTGCTGACCTCTGTGTCTGTGTGTGTGTGTGTGTGCGCGTGCATGTTTGTTGTCCTATCCCGTGCCGCTTGCACCAAGGACCCGCTATACTGTGTGAGCACACTGGGGGAGAAACAGTACCCGGGCTGGAGAGGGACTTCGACCGCAGTCTCGATTCAATTCTGCTTCAATCTCGTTGCGGTTGAATTTGCCAAGGCTGTACTTCTTGCTCGGTTTACCGTCAGTCGTGCTGTTGGAGGTGGCAGCCTCATTCAGGCAAGGTCTATCTCAGACTGATTGCGATGAGTTCACGTGATCTGCACCCGGAAAGGTCTTCTCCATGTGTTGCGACAGGAGCATCGCTGACTCGGCCAAGAAGCAGTACCAGACGGTGGCTCACGAGCTGCGGCTTGACAGCTAGCTAGCATCGCGTTTTTGATGCCATCGAAGTGCCAATTTAACAATTCCCGCTGCAAGCAGCCATCGCCTGTTAAAATAGTTGGGTGTGTTGGCGCAGGCACCAATTTCTATTGTTGCCCTTGACTTCCAAGAGCCCCGTAGCATCATGTGAAGCATGTTGTAGCTACGCCGACACCTGCGACATGAATGAAACCTGACAAGGGAATGAAGCAGTACTAGACGGAATAATGGCTGGGCCCTAGCCATCACTTTCGAGCAGCACTCGCTCCACCACCATCAGGCTCTCTTGACTGCCTTTGACTGACCAAGACTGTAACGACTGTACAAGGGTGAAAGATGGCCAAGCCCCGTCAAATGAAAGTAGGTAGCTAGGAATGGAAGTATGTGGTACGTACTTTCTGCATTGCTTTGGCAGTGTGATGCTGTTGCGAACCCCTGGAGGTTGCAGTACCTCAAAGGTTGCAAGCACTTGTTCTCAGCTTCCACATCCTACACCTGTGCGACAGCTGCAGCCATGCTTGGTGACCGAGAGAGCACTGAGCGCATGAGGAGTGGATCACGGGAGTTGAATTTTCACTTTCCAGTACATGGGTGCCCAACGGCAGGAGCAGAATGATCGCACTCCAACTGGGCGACGGCAGTTTTCAATGTGAGACCTCCGAACTTGACACCGTGCAGCATACAGCAGAAATCAGCCTGGGCCTTGGTCGCAGTATTGCAATTGCTGGCGTGTCCTGCGAGAAATCCCGAGAGGTACCTGCCTGTGCCGCATGGATGGCTACACACACGGCCAGGGGCTCGAGATCGAGTTAAAAACTGAGAGCCCCTCCACTTCGAGCACGCTCAGACCAGCTGGAGGCTCTGCAAATCCGTGCAAGCCTCCGCCAGCCCCACTGCACCCCCCCTCCTGGCCACTCGCACAGGGCCAGCGCCGGCACCGGCGGCCCAGCCCTCCGAAGAAGGCCAGGGACATAGCAGGACACGGGTTTACACCCTGTCCCCGAGCAGCCCGAGCTCAGGAGCCAGAGAAGTCGACTGCGGTGCCTTGGAACGAAGTTTGAGGGTTTTTTTCGGTCGTGGAAGCTTTGCTCCGAGGCAGAGAGGCACGCTGCGAGTTCCAAGTTCTCACACTCTCCACACCGACCTGGTGCCCGGGGACGCATCTAGACGCAGTCGCGAGCACTCGCGAGCGGCCAAGCCTGGCAGCCCTGTGGCTTTTTGTGCCCAGGTGTGCGCGCTGTGGTGGCTTCTTGTGGGGGCTCAGAGACCAGGGCTCCAGCTGCAGCCGTTGTGGTCAAATCGACGCTCGGCGACATGGCTTCACACGTGCCGCGATTGAGCCTCGTGTTCCGAGTGCTCGGAACCGGATCTTTCAAGGTTTGTGGCAGCTGCATCGCTTCCTCAGGCAGTTGCAAAGGAGCCTATGCAAGATTGAGCGATCCGGATTAAAACTTGTTGCGGCAGGAGCTGTGCGCTTGTGAGCACGCTGCGGCGTCCACTCCGCGCAGCTTGCAGCTGTTTCACTCCCCAAGCTGTGCGAAATGCTGTGAAGCGGTCTTGTTGTGAACTGCAGCAGCTTTCATTGCTCGACCAAGCACTTCGCCAAGTTATCATACCTCCGTTTACACAGGGCTCTGTGCCACACGTGCCACAGTTGCCTTAAATCAATCTTAGTCTTAGCTCGCTCTTTCCAGGAACTAGTACAGTGTGTTCCTGCATCGGATTGATGAATAACAAGGGTGGTGCAAGCTGCATGTTTCGGGATTCAGTAGCAGGCTAGCCCATCCCAAAGCACCATCAGCTTCGGTCAAGCCTCAGGTTCAGCCTGCGAACAGAGGGCTCAGATGAGGCGATGCATGTCCAGCCTTTGAACGACTCCGTTTATGATCACGACATTTCAGGAAGCATCGTCTGGCATGCTGGTGTTGCGCGAGGCGTGACCGGTGATGTGATGTGGCATTGTTGCTTGAAGCCCGTCATGCAGCTGAAGGATCGCCTGGAATTCTACAGAGGGAGAGACATTGTGTCGGTCGGGAGCCTTAGAATTAGGCCCTCGATGGCAACACGTGGCTGCAACTGTTGCGATCCATCCATTCAAGGACGACGACGAGCCAGATGTGAGCGCTTTGATAGACGACATCGAAGACTTGGAGGTCCCTTGAGAGACGGTTTGCTGTTGTATCAGGGCTCTGCCTTCGGTGCGCCAAGCGTACACAGCTGCGTTGAACGAACCTCAAGCGTTGGCACGGCCAGACTGGACATGCAGGGTGTCAAAGGCGATGCATGGCGATGCCATGTATACTCGTAGGTTGCAACCACCAAGGTTCAATTCACCAGTCTGCTGGCTCACATGTACAGCATCAGGAGCAGCCTGCAGCAATTTGTTTCGTGTCCTGCAGGACGTCCTTTGGCCTAAGCGAAAGCAACCGAGCTACGAGTTAGTCCATACCGAGCCCTTTCGAGGTTCCTTCCGAGCCATAGGTTTCTTGCAGGGGCCGTGTGCCGACGTGGACCGAGGAGGCCTTGGTTGGTCGGGCGAGCCCTTCGGCATCTACTGAGTGCTTGAGCACAAGGTGCCCTATTCGGGCGACCTGATAATCCCGAAGATCGAGGCTGGAGCCACATTTCGGTGCAGCTTCTACCTCCCTGTGGAGGTTTCCCTTTGACGAACTCATGGCAGAGAAAGACTCTCGAGTCTTTTGCGGATGGGACGGAGACAGTAACCTGTGGTCTGTGATTTCGTAAGGAAGGCTCGCCTAGACTTCGAGCTCACCCCCAGGAGGCACGGCCTGGGGCCTGGAGTGGTGCATGATGTCGGGACGAGGTTGGAGAACCTCATCCTTCGTCTCCGAAGAGTGGCCGGACAGAGTTTTTCCACGTGAACCTTTCGCTTGCGAGAGGCGTGCAGGCAGCTGCGACAAGTTTTGGATCGAGTGCGCAAGGGGAAGAAGGCTATAGCGCTTCTGGATCGTCCCCGGCATCTCCGAGTTCCCCTCTGCGAACTTGGGCTGAATGGAGCTCAATCACCGCTCAATCACCGTGGAGGATCCCCTCGGCGAAGCGGACACTGAGAACTTGGAGACGGAGACCCTGGCAGGTCACAAAGTGCCTCTTGGAGCATGACGACCTGATGCAGACACAGTCCCTTCGCCGATCCCAGCGAGGACCCGAGGACCGATGGCAACCCGGGATGTTCAGACATCGATGTCTTCCAGAAAGGCGGCCAGGAAAGATACTGACAGCGATACTTCGTTGCATGCGCTGCAAGGCTTGCAGCTTTGGGATTCCTATGCAGAGTCTCTTAAAGAACGAGTTGCTGTGGGTGGCTTCTGTTGAGGAGAGCAGGCCTTTCCAATTCGGCTCGTTTCAATGTGCAGGCGGCGGCTGGGTGCCATCAAAGCAGCTATGAGATCGATGGAAGACGAGCTCTTGGGACAGGAGGTCTCTCATACTGCGGACACGGCGGAGGACCTGAAGAGATGGCAGAATTTTGGTGAGGACCACTCACTCCCTGGACGAGGACTACGTCCCGGAAGTGTGCGGCACCAACTGGTGGTGAAGCGAAGACTGGGGTGAAGATGCTCACCGCCAGCTTTCCCCAGAAGAGCTCAAGGAAGTGGACAAGGCCTACATGGTCGCGGACAATAAACTGAAGAACTTTGTCCAGGCGAGGCAAGCCGTGAAGGCGCAGCGATTTTCAAGAGGTTTCTGTCACTTCCAGCCTGGAATGAAGGGTGCTGGGAAAAAGGGGAAAGGAAAAGGAAAATCAAAGAAAGGGAAGCCTCCATACCACCCGGCAACCCCGAGCTCCCCGGTGAGTGCGACTTCGCTGCCAGTGATGCCAGTGGAATCGGTGATGGCTATGAGACTTGGGGATCGCGGGCGCTTCTGGCCCGAGATCGAAGCAGAGAATCTTCCATGATGCGGCCATTTGGCATTCTGGTGCCCCTCCTTGCGTCCCATGGCCGCGTTCTCAGAAACTCCAGCGACCCGGGCGAACGAGACGATGCTGAGTGGCAACGGGCGCGGAAGGACAAGGCCGAAGGAAAAAGCTATGTCTTTGGACACCCTCGCGACGGCGCTGGCGATCTGCGAAAGAGAAAACGGCCCCGGCCAGAATATGAAGGGCATCCTCAAACCGACGCGGCATCAGGTGGTGGCCTTTGATCCGAAAACCTGAAAGAGAGCTTTCTGTCTCACAATGAACGCATTGCAGTTCTCTCCGTCTTTGGCAAGAAAGGAATCTTGCAAGCAGGACCAAAGAAGCTCCCGTGTGACAGGTAGAGACCTATGAACACATTGACCAGCTCTCCTCTCGTCTTCCCGAAAGATATAGGTCGACTAGAATCAACTCAGTCAGAACATGTTCGTTGAAGATTCCAGATCATTTTCGGCCTGCGTGTTCTTGCAAAAACTGCACATGTTTGAGCAAGCAGCCGCTTGGAATTGATTCTCTCGGCATGCCTGCCGAACTCTGGCCTTTAACTCTCCTTCAGACGAGGCAGAACAGAAGCCAACAAAGCAAGGGAACCATCCCTCTTTGCACCTACGGCCACCGAGGGCTTCCAACCTACAGGGAAACCATGTTCCATCACACAAGCATCTCGCAACTCGAGGAGGAAATGAAGAACTTTCAAGTCTCCTTTCACACTTCCAAAAGCATAAAGGTAGCGAATCTTTTGTGTAAGTTATTGTCAATAGATAGCTGGAGGTGTGTGTGTGTGCATAAGTATGTCTATATACATGTACCTGCACTTACAGACTTATGTATGTATGTATGTATGTATGTATGTATGTATATATATATATACGTGTGTGTGTCAATCTATGTATGTATGTATGTATGTATGTATGTATGTATGTATGTATGTGTGTATGTGTGTATGTGTGTCTGTGTGTATGTGTGCATGTAGGTATGTATGTATATACTTGTATACATGCATAATATATACATAACAGGTGAATAAAGATCAACATAAATATTCAGAGAGCAGTTCCAAAGTTGAAGACAGTTTTTATTTTTGGGTGCCCCTTCCAGAGTCCTTTGAGCTCGGACCCAGCCCTCGGGACCGGCTTGTGCGTTTCCGAAACTTCAAAGTGCGTGAGACGTTGAGGTTTCGGGGTTGGGAACAAACCCACATTCAAACCCAGCTCAAGACAAAAAAAGGGACACAAGTCTTCGCCTCTATCATTCATAGCCCTAGCAGACATACCAAGGTTGTCCTTCCCAGATTATATTACATTCGTATTACCCCGTTGCATACCTAGCCTGTTGTATATGCATATGTGTATGTGTAAGTGTCAATGTATGCATCGCATGATGGTACTTGTAGCTCCGTGTATACATGTATTTATGAACTCAAGAGCCATGATATTGAGAATGTGTGTGTATGTATATATATGCACATATTTATGCAAATGTAGAGACAGACAGACAGGCAGGCAGGCAGGCAGAAGTTTTTCGTCTATTTATTGGCTAGGTTCGCGTGTTGTCCCTGGTCAATCAATCTGGTTGCCGCATGTTGCCGCTTTGTTAATGTGAGATCGTGTGGAGCCTTGCCTGCCTCGAACGAGTGTGAGAGTCGAAAGCAAGAATCTCATGTTGATAGGCTTCTGCATCCTGACACAGACCCTCTCGACCCCGTACGACCATAACCCGGTGCAGGGGTGCCTGGATACATTAATTCTCCTCGGGGATCCCCAGCAGCTAATGTATCCAGGGGCGGGGGGTCCAGAAATCAGAGTTGGGTGGGGTGATGTTACAGGTTTAACAGTCTCCTGGACTCTGAAATCAGGTCTGGGTTGTGGCCAAAGGATGCGAATGTAGAAACATGGGATACTTGCAAACAAGATCAATCCCGATGTGGAGGGATCTTTAGGTCTACATAATTGATCTGTGCCAAAAAAATGACACGGTAGCGATGATCCAGTGGCGTTGGCCTGTGGATTTCCGAGATCCAAACCTTGCCCGTGTTGTCGTGCCCGTGCGGATCATCATCTGCCGCAGGTCAAGCAGGATGTCCTGGCCGTGCGTCTCGCAGACCCGTCGAGGAGACGAGTTCTGAACCGGATCGGAAAGACTGTTAAGAGCTTCGATGAAGGATTCTCGAGTTGGTCTCACCTCAGGGCAAGACAATGGAGGCCTGACTCATCTTTGCCTGCAGTGTTGCCTTATGGGGCTGAGATAGTAGGAGTGGTACCGCGAGCTCCAGCATGTTTTCGATGAGACTGCCTCCGTGTGGCACTCGGAAGCAGAGACCACGCAGGAACGCCAGAAACAATGCCTAATAATGCGCAAAATTGTGCCTCCAATCTGCGCTCTCGATGTGAAGTGCGTGGTATGGTGCAGCTGAGACTGTTGTGGTTTCTCGGGTGTTATTGGCAAAGAAACACAAATACAACAAAAGCAGCGAGCTCGAGTAGATTATTGGTCACCGCATGCACACGCACACAGGCATGCAAGCACGCAATCACGTCACGCCGGCGCTTTAACGAGTTCGCGCTGCATTCCAGGATGCATTTGTCTTCGAGCCCGTCAGATGTTCGTGTAGCTCGTGGGGTCTCGGAGGCCATCGATGAGGATGACGTTGAATACGTGCATGGTGGTGGGTAAGTCCGTGAGTATGAACCAAGAACGAAGTGGCACTTGACTAGACTGCTGCCAATCAGTGGCCATCCGAGGTATTCTCCTCGACGAGCAGCGAATGTGCACCATGCACAGCTCGAAGTACGAAATATCCTCTTATGGCCCTGTGTTCGTTTCGTGCCGAAATGTCTTCACCAGACACGCGCATGCGTGCACAGGCGCGTACATGCACCCACCCGCGCACGCGCACGCGCATGCACACGCTCACTCACTCACTCACTCACTCACTCACTCACTCACTCACTCACTCCCCCCTGGCCGGCCCGCTCGCATGCACGCTCTTGAAACTCGATTCTCCGCGATCTCAGTCATGCCCGTGCCACTCACTCAGATTCCATACTGAGACTCCAAAGAAAAGCGTTGGGAGGTCTTCTATAGGCTGGATGGACTTGCTGCTGGTTTTCTACGGAAACAAGCCAAAAATCACCTTTACCTTGTGGACTCGCCACTTATTCCCAGCAGGTACGTTTTGATACCTACCATCGGAGGTCTTCGTTGGCAGCTGCTCCGATTGTAAACAGCGCCCCCTGCTGTTTACTCTGTTGAGCCTGTCCAATGCACTGACTATGTTTCCAAGGCCCTTTGATGCCCTTTGTAGTTTGGGTTTCTCCCCAAAGACAACTCCTGTGGACGACTACTTGCCAGTTTCGTGGCACACCGATTAGATCGATTAGCACTGAAGGATTACGCGAAAACCTGGCAGGTATTCAAGCTCCCAGTAAGTTCGACACCACAAAGTCTCACAAAGTTAGGCTGGGTCGTGGCAATTTGTAAGCCTGATGCCAAAAAACGCTGGTTGCAGTCTCAGCTGCTTGCATGCCCGGCACCGAAGACATGGGTTGTGTCGGCGCTGCCTGGAAGCCCGAGACCGAAGACTGAGGCTGTCTCGTAGCTGCATGTAGGCCCGCCACCAAAGAGCTAGGTGGTGTCGTAGCTCCCTGAAAGTCCGATGCCAACGACGTTGGTTGTTTCGTACCTGCCTGCAAGCCGGACGCCGAAGACATAGGCCGGCTTACTCCGATGCTGTAGAAGCCCTGGATGTTGGCTTCCTTCATGCCCTTCCTGCAGTTGTCTGAAGGTGTTGCATTTGTAATCAAGCGAAAAGAAAGAACGACAAGACACTTATCATGAAGACAGTGTAATGTGAACAACATGTTTAAATATGTATGTTTTCGCATCCCTGCCGTGCTCAAACTGACGTCAACTGACAGGTCCTCAAGATTTGGTCTCTCATCAGAAGCTCCAATCGATCAGAGCTCAATTTGCGTTCTTAAACTGAATGCTTTTCATCTCCTTGCCAAGCTTTCCGATCTGTTGTGTTTTAGGGCTGTCGAAGCCGAGCCACGCAACCGAGGCCACCATCTCAGGGCTCTAGCTCGAAAGTGCTGCCTCGAGAGCAGCGTTAATGGCGCTGTGAGGGAAGGCCATGCCAAACACTCGCTTGAAACTCGGGCGTCCAAGAGCTTCATTCAATGTGTGATATTCACTCAAACTCAATCAGAAGAAAAGTGTTGGGAAGTCTTCAATAGCTATACCCTACGGATGGGTAGTGTTTTCCCAGCGGGCACCTTTTTCTACCTGCCGGCGTTGATCGGTGTGGCTTTATGGGATGTGGCCCATGGTGTCATACCACGTCCACGTATTCGTAGAAGCACGCATGCGTTTGAGGAACTTCCTGCTGCGACTGCCGAAATAGCACAACCCAAATTTCTTGCACACGCACCAGACAAACACGACTATGCCGGCACATACAGCCACACAGCCCCACACACGCACACACGCCATGCTCAATTTTCATTTTTTCCTACCTGCTCACTTGCTCACTCCCTCATTTCCTCACTTAACTCACTCTGCCACTGACTTACTCGCTGGCTTGCTTTCACTGATCTTCATACGCCAAAGACAACTGAAGTCGTGTGTTACCGAGTCCCAAGCAGCCGACGAGGACAGGGCGCATGTCTTGGGACACGAAGCTTTCAATTTCGGTCTGGGTTGCTGCCACTGCCGAATGATTTCAGGTAAGTTGTGATGTAATCGGACATGGACTCAAGCTTGTTGGCTTGAGAGGTGCCCTGAGCAGTCGAAAGCTGCATCGGAAGAATTGTGGTTGGATATCCATGCATCCCGTACATCCACATAACTTTGTATGTGTACCTATGCGTACCCGTTCCGCTAGGTTATTGGTTCTGAGAGGCGCGTCGAACGTGAGTGATGATGTGTGTAATTACGCCCAACTTTACTATAATGTTCAGTGAGGACCCGAAAGCAATCGTCTCAGCGGATGTCCGGCTCCCAGCGTTGTCACCATCAACTGCAGAACCGAAATAGCCACAAGCCAAGGAAATTCTACTTTTGTGCGAGTAGCGCAAGAATGATGTATACCACAGCTGACCAGAGTGGATTTCCAACAGAAGCCTCTGAAGCCGAGGAGACCACTACCAACATTGCGAAAGAGCTGCTGCAAGTTGTGAAGACGGCCCGCACATCAGCTAGAAGTGCGTCGAAGGGAAGCAGCTCTACAGCTTCTTTACCAGCCCTTGTGGATGTGAAGAACAGCTCGAGGCATTGCAGTTTCGCATCACAGGTGAACATCATGTTCAAGACCGAGCGCACGCTGAACGGACACAAGGCTTGGCTTGAGCAGAAAATCTGGTCCAGCCCTCTTTCTCTGCAGTGACAGGTTCAAAATGCGTCTGACCTTCACACGGCACTTCGACAGGCCTGCTTCAATTGGCCAGCCTCTACTCTCGGTCCGGGAGCTGCCTGCAGGACGCGCAGCACGTCAAGCCGGAGGATTTAGCCTGATGCTGACTAGCAGTGTAGAATTGCAGGCGTTTGTGACCACTGCCGAGAGTGTACCAAGCGGCCCAAACATGGAAGTCATGGAAGGACTCGACTCGAGACCTAACCCTGGCCAGAACCGGTCTTCGAGAGAAAGCGTTGTAAAGTCACCGGATGTAATGGCACTGCACTGAAGTTCGGTGGTGGTGATATCTTGTGACCAGAATAGTCGCAGCCAGGGCTCTATGTCTATGTTGGACTTATGGGAACAGAGTCTGGTCGCATCTGCTTTCCGCCTTGCTGAGGCCAATGCCTTGAAGGACTTGAGCATCGGCCTCACAGAAGCTCAAACTGCCAGGTTCTTAAAAGGCATGAAGCTAAAGGACATGTGAGAAGAGACCCGTGTCTGCGATTGTCTGCGTGCACAGGCTCTTTCTGTGGGGTTTCTGGCGCTGCCTGAGCTGAATCTGCAGCAATGAAGTCTAAAAGGCATTACTTTAGAATAGTATTGCTACATCGTAGAGTCATAATTACGTCGAGGTCATGGGTACTACTAACAATTTCCCGGGACTGCAAGAGTTTATAGGCTTTGCGGTATTGCAGCCTCTGGATTTAGCTTTCTGGACGGTCAACAGAAAGACATGGTACGAATTGAAGCCGGAAGCGGACACGGTACAGACGCGGTCTGCAGGTAGAGGATGGTCGAGGTCACGGAAAGTCACTCGCGCAGCGATACGCAACGCTCAGGAGTACTTCACGCTCTCAATGGACCTAAATGAGGATGGCGGTATCGCACAAGACGAGTTGCTCAAGGCAAGTGTGCCCTTCACCATCGGAAACTCAGCTCTGAGCATGCAGTGTATCGATGTGCAGAAGCCGTTCCAGCTGCTGCTTGCGTCATCTTGCGTCTTTCCATGCTGGATCATGGACTGCAATCTCCACAGACTCCAGCTCCTCAAGTAGCAGGTTGCTGTGCAGCACTCTGACATGACAGACAGCCCTTTTGGCTGAAACCTGCCATGCTGGATGGTCGAGGGTCCAAGCTGCAAGCGTAAGGCTGAGAGGCTGCAAGCGCTTCGGAAGGATCTTATTGTGCGGGAGGCACATGCGAGGCAGCTGAAGTCGAAACTGTGGTCGTGCAGCTGATGCACATTGAGGTGCTGTTGTACCAGCGTGTGCTGGCAGTGCTGGCGGCATGTGGAAGCCATCCTTCCGACCTGGACCGGTGCAGGCCTTGCTAGCACCCATCTCTCGTCAATTGCCTCGGCTCTCGGCAGGGGGCAGATGGTAAGGAAGGTCGCGACAGTGGGGAAGGCCAGCTCGAGGGCGAGCACCGTCTCCTGGCCCACTGCACGGGAGGGGCGAAACATGGCTCTCCACAGGAACTCTTCCTCGTCCTGGATAACCTGGTGATTCGACTTCACTTTGGAATGAGCGGTGGTGCAGACTTTGTGTGTGGCTTGACAGCATGATGACTTTCTGTCTTAGACGCCCCAGTTGAAGAGTGCTCAGGTGCAGGACATGAGGCAAGCAGAGTTCATCGACGGCCTCGGTCCACAGGAGTCGAATTCCAGTTCTCGAACGGGCGTGGGGAGCTCAGCATTTCCTATGCTACAAAAATTGCAGTGTCAGCGGAGTATACTGCGGTCGTCTTGTTAAGGGCTCGTGCTGCGTGATGCCACAGCCAGAGTTACGACATTTGCCTACCTCGCAAACTGCGAAGCACGAAGGCGGGGCTTAAGTGGAAGAAAGTGTTGCCATGCGCAAGACACAGTTCAGGCCTTTCGACATTCTCAATCCCAGTTTCGATTGGGAGGGTGCCATCAAGCGACTAAAAGAAGCTGCCGCGGACCGGAAAGTCTGCGACTTGGTCATGGATCAGCTTCTTCTTCCTGGAGTTGGAAACGTGATCAAGGACCGGCTGTCTCGTTGAGATATCGCACTTGGATCCGAAAACATCGATTGAATTGTAAGGCGTCACACCACACCATGTCTCAATGGCCTCTAGATCTTGCAGTGCCTTCTCATCAGGTGGAGGGCCTTTTCGCAGCAAGGGTACATCCTCTCACTCCTGGGAAAGCGCTGAGCGACAGCTGCTGGTGGGCTCTTCTGCGGGGCCTGCGTGACTGTGCGCTGCAGTGGTACTCTGCGCTCAAAGGCCATGAGCGTTGCTTCACGAGTCGTGTGTTTAGGCAATTTACCTTGCAGAGCAAAATTGAGTTGCACATGTTGTACTTCGCTGCATATAACACAGCATTAGAAGTACAATATATGGAGTATTTGATACAGTTATTAAGCTATATAGAGCGTCTAACAGGTCATATGTACTATGTAGTATGTAATGTAGATGCATAATGTGTTATATTCATTCATGTATGTATGTATGTATGTATGTATGTATGTACGTATGTATGCATGCATGCATGGATGTATGTATGTATGTACACAACATGCTGCCTGAAAAGAAAGTTGTTGTAATATTGGCACATATAGGAAACATACCTCATAATCTTCATAGTTCATATAGTGTAGCATGTAGATAACAAATGATAACAATGTATGAAACCAATTCGCAAGTAGATAGGTATAAATACATAGTGTTTGTATATGCAAAATGTTTACATATCCACATATATACATATATATATATATATGTGTGTGTGTGTATGTGTGTATACATACATATTAACATAGTGCACACTAGACATACAAGGCACATCCCCCCGAGCATGTCCGTGCAAGCCCGCTACACACGGCGCATGTACAAGGTGACACCGAAAGTGTGCCTGGTGGCTGCGCACTACACTGTATCCGTACACAACGGGCACTACCCGGCGCTACTTGGCACTGCCCGGACATGACACTACTCGGGCATGCCCTGCGCGAGTTGCTGGTGCGTATGAAGGTAAGTATAGTATAGCCGAAGTCTGCGGCTCCGTCGGTGTTCAGTTTGCCTTATGCCTTGTCGCGCCCCAGTTTGCCTGTCTGATGATGAGGTTTAAGAAGAGCAGTTCTGGATTGTGGCGCAGTCCATGACTAAAAGGAGTATTTGCGCGGCAAGGATAAGTGCAGATGGGAGTGACATTTGTATTACAAGACCAGCTCAACACGTGGCAATTGGCAATGGCCAATCGCCGCGACCTCGCAACCAAAAATGCCGCCCATATCTCTACATCTGCCTCCCTAACAGGTACTGCAGGAGAGTGGGCAGGCACTTGGCCCTGACAAGGGCACATGATCCATCGCCGGAGCAAGCTGGAGCTGATTGGCTTGCAGGGTTCAGCCCTCACACATCGACAGAATCCCCACGCTATGCTCTCGTCTGGGTGCATGACACATCGGCTTCCCCACACAAGCCTGAACACCAGTAACTGGTATGCCTCCACCTGCAATACCGGCATACAGACGAGTCTAGGAACACTGTCAGTCCCCTTCGTCTTTACATTGATTTCGTTATCTCTTTATATCTCTGCGTTGTCGGTATTTCTTATACCTCTATCCCAGCCACGCCACCGGCTTGGTAACGAATGTTCAGGGGTGGCAAGTCCGTCGGAAGCAGTATGGAATGTCTCGTTCTGGCAATGATGCCTGTCTTTCAGCATGCTTCGGGCCGGTGCACAAAGGCGCTTGCAAGCGGCGCCTCTGGTATTTGTTCTGGTTGGTTGATTTTGTCGTTCAGACTTCGATCGAACTTATTTATGACTTGCCTAGATTTGTGCTTGCTTGTGCTCAGCAAGGATTGATAACAGCACGTGCGCGCAGCAGCAGCATTCTACTGCCTTGGTGCTTGATGGCAGGACGAGGCAAGCTGTTCAAGGTATGCTACGGAAGGACACTTGCCTCAAACTGGCTTGCTGATCGGTCGCAGCTACGGCAGCTACGGTGCTTGTTGAGTTTAGAAGTACCGCATTTGCAAGAGTGTAGCATCTGCAGTTTCATTGTGCACCGGAAAGTTTTGGTCCGATCAGATTCGATGACACGTGCTTGCAATCGAAGCCTGAAGATGCGGGGGGTATTGTTTGTTGACCTTTTGTTTTCGCCTTTTCTTCTGTTTTTTTTGGTCTGGGGGCGGTGTCGGCGTGAGCTTCCTCTACCATTCTGGACGCGCAAGGAAGACATGCTCGCATTGCCGATCGCAGGTGGTACTGATGCGGGAAGGTTTGCTGGCAGACGTGCAGTAGTGCCATGTACTGCCGCAGTAGCACTGTCATCTCGCCTTTGACTGTTGCACGCTGCTGTCGGCTGAGCTGTGGTTCAGGTGCTCTTCGCCGCATCAGCTACTATTGTCCGACTTGCCAAGTTGGCGACAGCAACCGCTGCGTGCAGTGCGATCCAAATTCTGCACTTAATCCTGGCTGTCGTCAAGGAGAGCCAGGTGAGGTGATCAAAAGCACACGAACGGACCTGCTGCAGCTGAGTGAAGTAGATTCCATTTCGAAACGCATCCCACGTCAATGAAACAGCACACCAGCGAGAAAGTTGCAGCAGAGCATGCGTAGGGTGAGCCGAAGGACTTAGGATTCAAGAGCAACTGCGACTGGGCAGCTCTCGCGACCCACCGGCAGGTGCCAAGAGATCTCAGACAGACTGTGCAGTGCGGGAGCTGGTGCGACCACAGTGTTCCTGCCGGCAAGTCGCCTGGCTTGACCACAGAGGAGAATCAGCATCGTGCTTATTTCTTGCATCGTGCAGCTAGAGCAGCTAGAGGCTTGCGAGCTGAAACAGACCTTCAAACCTGGGCCAAACCGTGAGCGGCATTTCTTCACCTGTGCAAAGCAGCGTTGCCGCACCTTCCAATGGCTAGATGCACAACTTCCGACCTGCGCTCACGGGCGCACGAAGCATGAGCCTTAGTTTTAGCGACTTCGACTGGTGAAACATCTTGACAGTTTCTCCGCCAGAGCTAAGCGGTGTCAGCTCTAGGATGCGTCAAGTCCTGAAGCTGGGTGCCAACAACGGACGGTTCTTCGCAGCCTGCCCGTTGCGATGCGGCTGCGACTTCTTCCAGTGGCTCAGATGGAAGGACTGTGCAGCGAATGCTTGTTTGCCTCATGCATCGAGTAGATAAGCCGTGAGGAGTCTGAGATTCCTCAGCATGAACATGGAGTTCAAAGTCGACTCACTGCGAGCTTGACCAGAGACGAGCGAACGGCAACGTTTTGTGGAACTGGCACGCTCTTCAGCAGGCTGCTTGGGTGAGAGGGGTTGCAGAAAGGCTGCGGGAAAGGAGCACTGGCCCTCGTCAAAAGCACGTTTTCATGCCGCGACTATCCAGAAATCTTCACGGCATTCTCCGATGCAGGTGCAGCCGCTTGCAGGCCACACGGTTTGCGAGAGTGAATGGAACTGTTGTCCTTGGATGCGGTCACTGCGGTTTGTCTACAACTGCAGGTCTCGAGCTGCAAACGAGGTGGAGCATCGCGAAAGCGCACCATCGCGAAGCGTCAGATCTCCGCAGAACCTTCCAAAATCATTCCTGCCAAGCGCCGACGATCCATCAGGCACCGACACAGTAGCACACTATAGCGATCACCGCCTGTCCTTCTGGATTTGCCGTTCTGCGCAGGCAAGCGCAGCCCACAGTAGCATCAATGCTCGCGGCAGCTGAACGCTTTTCAACAAGCACATCGAGTTGCGTAATTGATTTGACATCAGAGTAATTAATGTATAGAGTGCATGACCAATGCGAATCGTGGATGTTGCGATGCGACTTAAAACAGCTCTGCATGAGATCTCACGAGATCTCACGAGCTCTGCATGAGATCTCACGAGATCTCACGAGCCTCGTCCTATGACCATCCAGGCATTGATGCTCACGCCTGCTGCTCTTAGCTTCTGCAGGCCCTGAAGCTCAGAGAAGAGGCAGGGGATAGCGTTCTCACAACACCTAGCCCCATGATGCCCCATGCTATGTGTTGGTCCTGATTCTTCCGGCTTCCCAAAAACAGCGCGAAGTTGTGGGACCACTGCAATCAAAACGACACCTCCTCTTTGCTGCATGATTTTTCCCGAAGGATGCCGCATCTGCTGCCTCCAAAGTGCAGGACAAGTGCCAGGCGAAGATCCAGGAGCCTTAGGGGGTGAACCTTACGGATTTCCAGCGTGCGCAAAAGGTATCCGCGATCGTGAACATGTCCGGCATGGCTTGACATTGAACTGCCGTGGTAGTGTCCATACGGGCCATTTTATCAGCAGCACAACTTGTGCCCAGACGTTTGCAACTGGCAGACGTAAAGTGTGCTTGGGGCACTCACTGCCTTTAGCATTGAAGGATGCGACGACAATTTGCACCCTCCCTTGCAAAATGTCGGAACGGGTTCTGCAGTAGGCCCCTAGACAATCCCTCTAACAAAGCTGAAAGCAGTGTGCGTCACCAGCTCAGTTCCTCCCTCCTTCAATCAGACAGGTTCAGGGAGTGGCACGGGCACTTCGCCAAGACTGCAAAGTGAGCCATGCCTCAAGATACGAATAAGGATAAAGAGGACGAGGACCAGGACTGTGACGAGGTCGACGACGATGACAACAGGGACGATTTAGGGAGAGGGGCACGAGGAGGAGGTGGAGCAGGATCAGGAGGACGAAGCACGACGACAACGGCCACAGAGTCATAACATGATTCAAGCATATTCAAGCATGCCGATTGTTACTCTTGCCATCGCAGACGGCGTGTTCTCCTCGCTTTGCATTCCTGGTTCCTGTACCCCGATAAGATTGCGTAACCTGGACTTTATGATTGCAGTTTTGTCAAGGCACAACCTATGGCAGATGCCCGCAGCAAGGAACAGCGGCTAATTGCTGGTGTGCTGTGAGATGGCACCTCAGATGCAGGAGCCAATCCCAACACCACCGATAGCATCAGTCCGTTTTGACGACCTGGACAAGAACAACGACGGCATTATCAGTGCAGCTCTAAGAACTGCCAAGAGTTTTCAATCTCAGCAGCACCGATCTAAATGGATTTGTCACACATCGCTGCGAGTGCTGTGGGCAGAGCCGGATTCAGATGGAAAGCATGGTGACCTGTCTGTGGTTTACGAGTCCTGCAGCTTGGATGTCGTGCTTCCCCACGTAGTATAACTACTTGCAGAGCTTGCCG